GTACCCCGTACCGTACGTACGTCGTGTGACGCACGGCTCCTCAGACATGCCGGCACTACTTCCCTCCTGTGCCTTGATCCGGGGGAAAGGAACCCCCCTCCTCCCTCACTTGGGGGAGTTCCTGAGGCAGAGGGGCCACTGGCGAGGCCCAGTGTAGCAGTAGAGGGCCTTCGCCGCTGCCGCAGGAGGAAGTCGTGTGAAGCTCCATCCATAGCATAAAAGACGTTAGCCGAGGCGGGGATGGTCAGCTCTGTAGGTTCAGAAGGGGGGGGATCACGCACATACACAACTGTTCCCTGTACAGCCACCCGGATGTGGGTGCACTCCCACTGGTAGGCCCTCCCCTCCTCCCCAGTGTGTCTTCCCTTACGGCCTCTGACCTCGCTCCCCTGGTAGCAGCTGCACTAGTTCATACTCCGAAGCCACCGCAGAATCACGATTATTTTTCTTCAGGACACGGCTGATGACACTTGGAGCCTTGTCCTGGCTTGTCACCTGACAGGACAAAAGACCAAAAGGGCAATAAATTGACTATGATGACCTCCGCTTTCCATCCTTTCAACCCCAGCCACTGGTCCCAACCAGAAAAGGCTACTCATGTCCAACACCTTAGAGTGAACAGGGAAGCCCAACGTGGTAGCTCCCTGTGCTCTACTGGCCAGCTGTTCCCTGTGGGGAAACTGCTGTTGGTTCAGAAAATCTAATATGACTACCACAAGTTCAAAGTGCAGCAGCTAATGCAAAGTGACCTTCAAAATAAAACACGGCTGCTACAACGAAAGGTCGGGATTAAAACAAATCATCCTCCCATTTCAAAGGCTGTTCCCCAACAACTACAGTCCCACAGGGTACCATCCTTCACCCCACCTCCCAGCCCACAGCTCCTCACCAAGATGCTCTTGTAGACACTGCCGTCTTCCCCCAGCTCCATCTGTACTCGGATGATTCGGCAATCAGAGGACCCTGGCCCGGACCCCCCTCCCCCACATCCAGCCCCACTGGAGGCTGCTTCTGCACCCCCACTGAGCGGAGAGCCACAGGAGGCTGAGCGGCGGTGACCCCGAGAAGGTCTTGGGGAGGAAGCTGGGGGGGAGAGGTGGCTGGGGTCGGCGGGACTTTGCAGGGACGGAGTGCTTTCCAGGGCGGAGTCCAGAGATGAGACAGATGGCCACTTCATGTGCTGGGGACAAACAACATGAGGGAACTGGTGTGAAGGCAGAGAGGTCAAGGAAGAAACATCCATAAAGTCAGGGTCACTGTTGAGGTCAGCAGTCAGGAGCAGAGCTCACCTGGGCCAGCCGCGTCAGCAGTGGAGCAGGGGTTCCCGGCTCCTCATCTCCCCCTACACTGGGCCGGTCCCAGGAGACTATGTGGGTGGGGCCCCCAACAGAACCCAGAACCCTGGAGTGGCAGATTGGGAGGGTCAGAAGAGGAAGAGCAAGTCCCCAAGAGACTGCCCTCCAACCCTGACTCCCTCACTCTGTCCACTGCGAGATGACCAGCGTTGGCCGAAGCACCCGCGGGGCAGGAGGGTCACTGGTACCAGGTGGCTCCACCTCACAGGACACACGATGGCTGGAGAGGGGGGCAATGGGCAGAGGTCAGAATGTGACACACTGATCCCCACACTCAGTCCAGGCCCTGAAGTCCCTGCCTCACCCAGCCAGTCACCTCTGGGCCTCTGTCAGTGGCCGGAGTCCCTGTAGCCACTGCTGGATGTCGGGATCGGGTCGGAGGTCATAGCCACGACATTCATTTTGGAGCCGCTGCAGCTCAGAAAGGACAGCAAACTCCTAGGAAGGAACCCACAGACTGCGGAGGCACAACTCAGGGACTCCCGACTCTGCCCTCCCTCTTCCCTTCCTAGGACATGGCCAGGGATGTCCAGCATCCAGCCCATGCACTCCCCTCACCTTCCTCCGCTTGTCAAAATTGATGTATCCATTCTGCAAGGAGAAAGGGGATGGGGTAAGCGTCCCAACCCTGCCATAGAGAGAATATCCCCTCTCCCAAACACCCACACATCCACATCCAATTCACACTTCACTCGGCCTCTCTGACTCCTCCGGCCCTCCCCCTGGCCCCATCCATCATGCCCTAAGCATGCTACCTTCCCCTTTAAACTACACATCACAGGTAGAAATTGTGTCCACTTCACAGATGAGAACATCAGAACTCAGAAAAGATAAGGAACTTGCCCAAGATCCCAGTATTTGTTTATTTAGCAAACTATCTACATATGCTCACACCTCAGGCATGTTCTAAGCACTCACCAAATGTTAATTCATTTAACTCTCATGGGATAGCAAGTTCATGTAGACACTGCCACTAGTTTCCCATTTACAGACCACTAAGGCACAAAGAAGTTAAATAAACTGGTCAAAGTAACAGTCTTGTCAATCAGTGCTTATGCCTTGCAGCCCCTTCTGGAAGGTGTGCCTGACCCTGAGGCCCACTTGTTCCATCACTGCAAACCGCGCATGAGCGCTTGTGTGCATGCGCGCGCGCGCACACACACACACACACACACACACACACACACACACTGACCTCCAGCTCATCCTTGGAGGCTGCATCCAGCATCACAAGGTCCTTCAAGAAGGTGCCAAGGTATGGGACTACACCCTGAGGTTAGAGGTGAGAGTCAGTCACCCCCACCACTGATCCGAGGGCTCCCCATCCCTCCGTACTTCCCTATCCCGCTGCCTGAGAGAACAAGTTTAATTCTCCTCACCCAGATGTGCCTCCCCTTCGCATCCAACAGACTGCTTCCACTCCTCTACATCCCTTACTCCTTTACAGCCATCCTCCATTTGTTGCCACTCACCCCACCCCGGAAGCCAGACCTCGGGCCCTTCTTGGAATTCGGCTCTAGAGAGGGTTGCAGCTTCACCTCCTGGTGGTAACAAAACATAAAGATATGGGGGTGGGAGGGAGGAGCAGGGAGGGCTGGCAATGCCAGGGAATAGGGCCTCACCTGCAGGAGTAGCTCCCGGCTCTGGGAATAATTATCCTCCTCGGAGAAAATCTGGCAGAGGCTGGAGAAGACTCTGAGGCTGTCCCTGGGGGGGTGGCAGCAGCCTTGAGGATGGGCCTGACTCAGTTCTCCCCTTCCCCACCCTCAACCCAGCCCAGTGCCCCATCCTCCCCACCTGGTTGTTTCCCCCCAGGCTGCCCGAAGCCTGTGAATGGGGCTGGATTGCAGGGCCGACACAACAGCATAAACTGAAGAGAAGTTTCGGAGCAGGCGGCACTCCTGTGGGGGTCACAGAGGGAGGCTGCTGCTGTGGGACCTCTTTCCACACCACAGTCCCCAACAGGGCCGATCCTATCTCTTACTTGTGCCACGCGGATCCACTTCTCCAGGAGCCGGGCCCTCTGAGGGGGACGAAGTGGCCGGACGGTCACCTCCCCAGGCCGTTCTCCAGTTGAGGTAGCCCCCAGAACCGAGCTGACCACTGCCCCTGCCACCTTGTTGAACTGAGTGACAGTAGCCCGGACAGATGGGCAGAGGTGGGAATGTCCTGGCCGGTCTCTGTGACCCCACAGGCCCCCCAGACACTGGGAGGGGACCAGATTGAGAAACAGCTCCTGCAGGGCAGAGGTCAGAGGTTAAATTTCATAATCAAGTGAGGTCAGCCTTCCAATATCAGGGGTGTGAGGATCTCAAGTGGCCAAGGATCCAGAGGGACACAGGGTTTGAAGGGCAACAACCAAGGGGAAATGGGGAAAGGTCAAAACTGGGTGGACAGAGGAGACTGGGAGCTGGATCAGGAAGGACTGGAAGCAAGGTAAGGATCTGGAGTCAGGGACAGGTTAGTAGGGGGGAAGGGGGCATAGGGGCCAAAGGTCAGGGTCTCACCGCATCTAGCAGGGTCAGCTGTTCGGCCAAGTGGTCAGCGAGGAACACCAGGACATCCGTGGGGTCAGCAGGGGGATCGCCGGGGAGGGCCAGGGGCTTAGGAAGTTCAGGGGTCTGGGAGTCCACCCGGGACCGGAGGTTGCGGATGAGGTCAGCGCTGTCCCCCCCAACACCCTCCCCAGCTGCATACCCTGTCCGAAGCAAGAAACTCTCAAGCCGGTCAAGCTGACCCTTGACCTCAGAGCCAAAATCCTCAGGGTGAGAGGCCAGCCAGGTTGACAGTACAGAGATGGCTACCCTGGGAGAAGGCGAATCAGCCAGGGGTCAGATGACAGGCTGCAGCTTGGGCATAGGGAACCGAGAGGTTAAGGACCAGGGGTCACTCACCCTTTTGTCCTCTCTAGTTCATCAGTAGGATGAGATTCAAGGGCTTCCAGCCTGAGGAGGGGAAGAGGTTCTATCTGTCCGTTTTTTCCAAACTCCCAGTGGCTTTGACTATTTTGGTGACTATTCTGGCTTTAGAAAGTCCAGACACCTCCATGACCCTTGGTCTCTTATGACCCTGACCTGTCAGCCACAAGCCCTAGTAGGGCAGGTGTAGAGGTGAAGGCCCGGTGGGTGGCCAGGAAGGCTGCTGTGAAGGTCACGTCAGCCCCTGATGTCCGGGCATCCAGCAGGTGTCTGACAAGGGCCTCCAGTGTGCCAGCTCGCAGCCTCCGGGAGGAACGCGGGGGAGGCCTCGGGGCCTGGGGAAGACAGAGGGCCCCTTTTTCAACTCTGCCTATAGGTCTCTGGGGGAAAAAATCCCAGACCTAAGAGAAGATCTAGGCTCATTGTATTAAAACTCAGAGAGCAGAAGACTTGACCTAAGTCACACAGCAGAGTCCAGTCTCCAGACCTCTAACCTAGCACTCCAGCCAGAAAGTTGGTCAGAGGGAGGGGAACTGGGAGGCGAGAAGTCAAAGTTATGATCTCACCAAGGGATCAAGAGGCTGATACTGGCGACTTGTGACAGTAAAGATGGCACCATCCTCCTCCTCGTCCCAGACAGACACAGGGACCTGGAGGAGCAAGGCAGAGTAGGTCAGAAAGTTCCACACCCCAACTGCCCAACCCTTACTCCCAGGCCCAACTCCTCCCTCGGTACCCCTCACCTGTTGCGGAGGGAGGCAGTACCAGCGAGTACGAGGGGTGGGGGGGCTGGTGACCCCAGGTCTCCCCCACTGGGGCCCAGACAGCCCCCCCCCAGCCGTCTTAGGGCCCGGTGGAGTCTAGGAAGTAGTAGTGGGGGGTTGGATGGAATGCAGAAACCCTGATTCTGGAGACTGCTGTAGCCCTTCCCCCCAGAGCTGAACCCCAGAACAGAAGAGGATCAAGGCGCAAAGTGTAGAGAGGGAAAAGAGAGAAAGGTAGAAAGCCTGAGGCAGAGACCTTGAGAAGCTGAAACCTGTCACAGGCACAGCCGCATGCTCCGCCCTCCCCCGCAGGAACTGGCCAAGCCCAAAGAGTTAGTCCTTCCCCTTAGCCCCCTTTCCCCGGGTCCCTCAGCCCTGGAGACCCCCCTCAAGGTGGCGGCTCAAATCCTAATACAGGAAGGAGAAGGGGAAGTGGGTTGATGGGGGGGCGTAGACTCAGGGAGTCATGTGACCCAGCCCCTCCCCCAACCGATCCCGAAAAACCAGACCTGCTAGTCACCCAGCCCTCACCCAGACTCTGGACCCAAGAGTCCAAAGCCTCGGGACCCCAAATCCAACTTCTGGCCCTTCCCGAGGCCCCAATCCCAGCCACCGCCATTAGTTCCATAGAAAAGCAGGTGACCACCCGCCAATCGGCCTGGGATGGTCCGTCCCTTCAAGGTCCGAGAACCTTGGCTTCCCGCCTCCACCCAGCGCGAGGCTGGTGGGGGGAGGGGTCACGAAATCGAAGGGTTCCTTCCCCAATCCTGGATTCAGAGGAGCGGGTTACTGTGGAAACAAACCCCTCCCAGGCAAACAAAAATAAGGAGGGAGGCAGGGACCTAGACAAAATGCCCAGAGACAAGCACACGCGGGCATAGGTGGAGCGGGCCAGAGACCCGCAGGAGAGCCAGCCAACGCTCCTGGCAGAAACCGGGCAGGTTCCTGCGGGCAGGTCCTGAGTCACACTGCCACAGAGAACCACAGAAACGCCGGGACTCCCCGCAGCGGGGAGACAGGCAGACACCAGCAAGGGGCACGGAAGTAGCTGAGGCAGGGAGGAAGAGATGAAGGGACACAGAGACACGAAGAGAAAGGTGGACAGTCTCTGAAATATACACGCCCAACCTCCCACCACCCGCATCTCACCTCGTCTTCTTCTTCCTCCTCCTCCTCTCCTCCTCCTCCGCCCCCGCCCCACCCGCCCCGGCCCACCCGTCCGGCCCCCGACCCCTCCCGTTCCGGGTCCGTCCGGTCCGTCCGGTACGCCGTCGC